AAATAAATGAATTTGTAAATGAAATGAATATACATATCCTTTACTACATTGTGTCAAAGTTGTTTCTCGTTCATACTTCATATTTTCACATATGCATACATTTTGAAAAAAATATCATTTACAGTGAATCTAAATGTTGAGAAATCAATAATAAGAAATAGAAAATATTCGAATTATAATACAATATCATAGCAATATCATCGTTTCGCACGAAAAAAAACAAAAGGCCAGAAAACAATATCAAAAAAGACATTGAAAAAAGAAGAACTAGTAGTTTCATAAGTTTTCACTTTTGTATGATTAACTGACATTGATGATTTCGTAAAACAACCACGACTTGCGAGATTTGTCATTCTATCGTCTTTTCTGCTTGTCTTGACACGGCTATAATTAACAACGTTATCATCCGAAAAATTTAAATCTTCAGAGCTCAAATCGATAAGCTTACGATGTCTTACTGATTTCCTGCTTAAAAATTATTTATAAATAATAATCATTTGAACATAATCTAAAATTTCTACATTTTGTAGAATTATTTTAAATAAATATTTTACTTTGACCATTTTTCTGTGTTTTCTATCTCAGGAGAGCTCCAGGATTCAGTCTCGGTGTTTTGATCAATAGACGCATATTTGTAATCGTTGCATGACTGACATTCGCATTTTAACGCTAAACTTTTTAACAATATGGCAGAGCGCGGATCATCGCCAGCACTTGTAACAATTGGGAATTCCTTTGTTGTTATCGGCTCTCCTTCAAACTCTTCATCAGCATCCATCTCGGAACTTTTCTCAAGACACCAAAGATTTCTAACCAAAAAGTATTCTACTTGGATAATTTGCATAATTTTCTAACATATAAAAAGTAAATAATAAAACTTTTCAAATACTCACGAGTTTTCGCGAACAGTTTGCAAAACATTCTTGGCTTTCAATTTTTGCGAGTCCATTGCATTCGATGTTTCCTTCTTTAAACTGCTTTCCAATGTATTAAAATTATTTAATTATATTGTAAATTACATAATTATAAACAAGATACAGTTATGTAAATGCGATAAAAATACTAAAATACTAAAATAAATAATTATTCGAAAAATCTATGTCATATATTAATATTTATTACTAAAAATTAATTAGATATTAATTATTTAATATAATTTTTGGCTTTTAGTAAAAATTTAATTATATTATCTATGCATAAATATAAGAATAAGATATAGATTTAATAATCATTCACTAATATAATTATCCTGTCCGTATAAATTATAAAAAAAATTATCTTCCTATTTTACTTGCATACTCAAATACTACATTTTCCTCTTCATTATTTGTGAGCGATTTCATATCTGTGAAGCACTTTAGTTCATTTTTCATTGATAATTTTGAACTCTGTTAATTAAAATTGTTTAAAAAATACATTTTAACAATATAAATACATATAATACAAATATAGTTATATACCGCATTAACACATGATTTTTCATATACTGGTTGAAAGGAATTTGATTTTAGCGATGGTTTTATACGTGGAATTTTACTGATTTTATTTTTATGAATATACGGTTTTGTATCTTTAATTTTACTGGGATTTTCTTGAGATACACTGACAACTTCATTCACAAGATCTTTATCATTTTTTACGATTCTTGGTGTCTTTTGTATTAAATCCTTTTAAATATTATACAGATTAGTTTCAAATTTAATAGATCTAAAGAAAAAATTTTGTTAGAACGAACTTGATGAGAATTAAACGACAGTCTGCGATTTAGAGTAACATCATAGTTATTTTCCTTTTCAAAATTTTTGACATCTTGAATTTCCGAAGAAGGTATCGACTTTTCTTTAATCTTATCAATATTGCAGGACAATAATAGTGGACGATTTTTTGTAAATTTCTTTACTTGTGTCTTCGATTTAAAAGTAATTCCTCTTCTTTTAACAGTTACATTTGCTTTTCCACAAGCATACAGATTTCTTGTTGTGGTTGGCGCCGACAATTCGTCAATGGGCTCTGACCAACTTGTGTTATTATCAACTTTTGAACGTATAGGAATATCTGGTTGACTAATAGCTGCCTCATAATTGTAAGATATAAACGGGAATTTTGGTTCCGTTTTATTTTTCGCAACAATTATTAAGTTGGTTGATTCTTTATTGATCGCATTTTCGTATGTGTTGCGATGCAATGGCAGATTCATCGTGTCTCCAGCATGACTAATGCTATAACTAAAATCGTTGTCTATTATTGCTAATTATCTCTTATTTAATTACATATTTCTAATAAATTTAATAAAATCGACTATGAATAATTAAAATTTGGTTTTAGAAACATTAAACATTGTATAAAACATTTTAGAAATTCAAATTTAAATATCCTCACATTTAAAAAATATTATTAATATAACTCATTCACAAAAAAATGCAATGCATAAAAAAAATGCAATGCATTCCTATAGTTTTTACTTTTAATAGTAGAAGATGTATTTTATTTTATTTGCAAACACTTACTTAGAAGTCACGGATTTGCATTCGTTAATCCGTGCCTGACTTTTCGATAATTTGCGTATTTTAAGTTTAGCCAAAAATTTTAATAGCGCCTCGGATCGTCTGCGATCAATTTTCCGGGAATTTTTGTGATACGCAGTTACATGTTTCGCATTTTCATCTTGCTGTCCCGTATTTATTTTACGCGTTTGCAGAAGCGGTGACACCAAGTGATTCAACTTGTACCGAAAGCGATGCTGCGATTTCCGTGAACTCGCCAGTCTCTCACGCAATGATCACATTTTTCTTAGATACTTACACAAATTCTATCATCTGATTAACCACTTTTAACACGTTGTCAATGACAACTTATCATTGAATTTGTTGAAGTTGTTGAGTTACGTGTACTTCAATATCAACTCGATTATAGAACACTATGATTGCGTTCACGCTCACAGCGCTTGCAAGCATCATTTGTTCTTGTTTAACATTTGTTAAATAACAAGGATAAAGTGATACTATAAGCGCTATGAGTGTGAATTGGAACATAGCCTATAATTGCTTTAAGGCTGCAGCTCTCACTGTATCCATCTTGAGTTATGACGTTAGAAGTGAGAAAACATATGATAAAAATTCTTTTACATATATTAAAATAGTCATATTTTTTTTATAAAATAACTTTGGCATTTAAATAAAACTTATAAAATATATCGAAAATTTTTCTTTTGCTTCAATAATTAATAAATGATCACATATCTAAAAATAAATCTATTTAAAAATAAATTATATCTTAACCACAATTTAATTCTAAATATAATTAATTCTAAATATATTTTAATATATTTCACAAAAATTTTCATCATGTGTTTTCTTACTTCTTCATCATAATTCAAAATGGCTGCAATGAAACAACAGGAATCTTAAATATCTTTTTGTTAATTAATTTTTTAATCCTGACATACAATATTTTTTGCTCGATAAAAGTAAAGCATACAAAATATATTAAACATTGAAAAAATTAACAAATTTTTTTTTAATAAAAGTAAATTACTACCACTGATTGTCGCAATTAATCACTGTATTGTAATGAATAGTTAATGGAAACTTATTACATATATCCATAAAAAATTATAGGCAGGAGATAACATATGTGGGAATGTATAAAATTTAATTTTAAGATTCATTTAAGTTTGAGATTTAAGTTTGTTTCTTAATAATATATTACTAGAAATAAATCGTTATCTAAGAAGAGGTTTGTGCAAAAGTATTCGGAAAACAAATCGTGCGATTTTCTCGTAAGTTAGGAACATCAGAGCAGCTGTGAAGACAGTCTGCAAAAGTTTGGCCTCCATCCCTTTATATAAGCCACTTATTCCTTGTTTTCTGCGCACAAAATTTATATGATTATGTCAGTGGTGATACATAAATTGCAATGATAAAATGTAAAATAAATATATTACATATTCATATAGAGTTCTATATGCGTTCTTACTTTAAAATGTAAATTAGTAGTTGCAATGTGCCTGCATCTGGAGGCAGATTAGGATATTTATCTCCATGCTAAAATTAAAATAATTTTGCGATTAAAATTAGATTATGACATGTAATTTATTTTTTTTTTTTATAAAACACGAAGTGAAAATGTTAGTAATATTTAATACCCTCAATTTTGTTTGTACAAGCTGCAATGGATACGTTATCACTGTGGCAATCGTTTTCGCTATCGCGCCCATAACGAAGAAAGCCCATGCCGGTGGTTGAGCTCCGCCAAGAGATATATTGATCCTTCTTTTGATACTCTCATATGTCATAAATTGAATGGCCGGATTCGCAACGAGCATAAGACTTGGTATTGTTCCCGCCCACAACTTTCTCAAGCCTTCGTACTTGCATATATGGACAAGACCATCTGTAAAATTTCATTAGAAAATAATTAATATAGATAAAGAGTTACACATTATAAAAAATAATTTTTTTTCTCTTTCTTTTTAGATTACTAAAAATAACTTGCTGTAGATTTCAGAAAATTATTTGTCTTTCATAATACATTATTTATACTATTTTCCATTAAACGTGCTATCAGTTTATCATTTGAAGCAGTTTTTATCTCAATTAGCATGCATGTATATGTAAAATGACCAAGCAATTTTTTTATAATGATAGAATAATTCTGAAGAAAAACGATAACTTTTTTTTCAATTAATTCACGTTACAATATATTTAGTTTCATATTCATGAGTCGGCGAGATGACATATTTATCAACGATAACGTAACATCATGCTCATATCATGGTTTAAGTGATGGAATAAATACACGACATAATGACATGTATTAATGACACATATTTCCATAGATGTATATACAGATTGATGTATAGTATACGTATCATCAAACAGGAAATATATATAACGCAACGCGTTATTATCGTTACTTACACGATATATTAATACTGAGATTTATTTTAATGATCAACCGAATAATTGGAATAGCCAATATTGTTGAAAATACAAAACAGGTCAAAATTAAAGAGTCCCATTTACCATTTAAAAATGAATATTTACATACTTTCGAAGAAATGCTTAAGAAAATGCCAACATACCGCATAGAGTAGTATACTCGTTGTTATTTCTTTCTGGAGCAAGTCCAATGCCCTTCATCTTCAATCTTGTGTTTACGACCCACAAGGGTGTCGTGGTAAGAACATTGATAACACCTGATATGAATATATATAGATATATACGTAATGAATGTCTACCAATGTTATACATCGTAAAATTCTTCATCTATATATTTCCTCTAAGGAAAATAACCCTCTTCAAAATTCCGATTTTTTTTCGTTTTTTGAAATTTGATTCAAAATATCAAGAGATGATTCTTCATACAAAAAGTAATTGCTCAGTATTATGTATAGCACTTATATACAGTATCTTATTTTTAACAGTGGAATAAAAGGCCATTTTTTTGTATCTTGAATTAAATTTAAAAAAAATCGGAGTTTGAACGTTTGAAAAAGGTTACTTGTAAGAAAATTTTAAATTAAAATTTTTTCTTCGTCAATTGTTCTATATAACCTAATATATTTTAATATTAGTTAAAATATTCTATTAATATAAAAGAAATTTTTAAATTAATACTTTTCAAATAAGATATAATTGAAAATTAATTAATAAAATTATAATTTAAATTAAAAAGATTAAAATTCTTTTAAATAAAATTAAATAAAATTAAATATGTTGCTTATTTTTCTTTAATTAGTTATTTCCTTTAATAATTTGTAATTAAAAAAACATCATTGTTTCAATTATTTAAAGAAGATCTATATCTCTAAAACTAAAACATAAGTTTTGAGGTTTTTGAATCTTTGTTAAAAAGAAATGGTACCAGCAATCGATGCGATGAGCAAATCGCTGCCAGCCGTTTGATTCCTTCTACTTTTCAATTCTTTTAATCCGTGGAATGTATAGAAGTAAACGAAATTACTCGCACATAGACTCTGCAGAACAGGGATGATACCTCTATACAATGTATACCTTGAAGAAACGAATGACACTTGAGTTATACCAGAGGCGCATTTTAAAAATGTTAATAACACAAGATAAATCTTTTAGCCATATGCTTATGTTAAAGTCAATTAAGGAGAAACTGATTTCTTAAAATATTTGTCATAATTTATATGATTTCATTCGTTTGTACTACGAGATAAAATATGCGTGAAATTCGCTTTGAGAAAGTATATTTGATAAACGATGTATACGTACGGTCCTTCTTTCGCAATGAGTTCTCGTATGGTAGCTAACGTGCTTTTCGATTGGCGTCCTTCTTCCACTATAAGTAGAAGAGCAAATTAAATAATTGCACAATAACATAAGTAATATTAGTCTTTTCAATTTATATGTCTCTATTTTTTGCGCGTCAGTATAAAATTCAAATTCATTAAATAACAATATTATTATTATGTTTAAAATATATAGAACGCATACATATGTACATTGTATATTATATGATAATATATAAAATAATTTTTGTAGTATTTTTTGTAACATAGCACGCGGAAAATATATATGTTTTGTGATATAGATAATACTGTACATTGAGATAATATTGTACATTATTCTATATATTGAGTTCAGCTTGAATAATCTATGTAATTTTTAGACTCAAGATTCTATGTTTATGTCACGTATTTTTATGTATATAATTCTATTTTAATATACTTTATACTTTATTAAAAATATATATTATATATATTAATATATATTTTTATATATTAATAACACTTTATATATATTTACATTCTGATTCTCTCAACTTGTTTATAATTACATGGCATAATATTATAGAGATGTTAACATCTTATTTTGAATATTCTGAGACAAATCCTAATTTAAAATAAATTTTATAATTTAATTTTATAATTTTATAAGCATTTAAATTAGCATTTAAAAGAAATCATTTACTATTTTTTTAATGTATTATATCCAATACGGAAATCATACGTCAAAATGAAATAATATGTAAATGTATGTAAACAAATATCTGAATGAATAAAAGATGAATCTATGGAACACTTAAATAGCACAAACATCAATAATTAAGATGGTAATGAAATGGCAACAAAATATTTATTGTCTTTCTTTTCATTGTTCAAAGTTTAATGGAAATCGTATGGTAAAATGAGATAATATGCAAATACATGTAAATGGATGTCTACGTAAAAATCTATAAGGTACACAGTAAAATAGCATAAACTATTCGACAGCTAGAAATAATAATGAATAATTTGTGCATAGCATGTATTTAACATGATATGGCATTATTGATGCCAATTGATGATAAAAAAATCGTGACAATAAAATAGCAGGATATTGTGCCATCGGTTAGTGACATCGCGTTTAATAAAATCAAATCGGTCTGCTCGCCGACGTCGATGCATTTGCGATGGAAACGAGCGCATAGTTGATTTGTTATGTATTCGACAGACGCGAATACAACTTACATTGTAAACGGCTTCGCACGGTATCTAAGGGATAAAAGACCGCCATTGCGACGACGCTACCCTGAAATGTCGAAATGTCAAAGTTATCCCATGGCGATAGGGTAACATTTCCGTGTAAGATTTCCGACATGTAAAATAGACACTCACCGCTGCACCGGATATCGCGTGCACCAGCGTGTCGTATGTAAAGATGTTTTTACTGTGTCCGTCGCTAGCCATTTTTATAGCGTTTCCGACGCGAGTTATATTAGTCCCACGAATTGTGTAAGTTAACTCAACTTGTTATCTTGAGCGGTTTCATCGTAGATTCAAATTATGACACGTCACCGCAGAATGTCTCGATCGATCGATAGCACTCGTAAAACGCTTTTTATGAAAGAATCCAGTCCTGAAAAAGATAATATGATCTTGATAATATCTTGAAATATCTCTGAAATTAGGACTTTGTTCTTAAATTTTTTTGCAGATGTATTACTCAGCTATAAATACAAATATTAATAAAGCTTACATTTTAATATACTTTAAATGAAAGACTTTACTTCTTTCCATAATATTCTCCCATTTGATTGACTGAAGAAGATAATTAGAAAATTAGAAAAGAAGCTTTCTTTGTTTTATTTATTTTTTCTTACGACCGGCGTGTTGGTTAATCAATGAATGCTCGAATTATGCAAATTACTCTAATTAACTCTTGAAAAGTGGTTAATAATATACGCGACTTTAAAATCGATATAATTCAATTTACTTCTTCTCACGGGAATGAATTTACGTTGTAATTATCTTTTTAAATTCCTGTAATTCTCAATTTAATTCTCAATATAAATATAAATAAAATTACTTCCCGGTCCCCCCCCGTTAAATTTTGCACAATTATTTTACATTTACCTTACGATATTTCTGTAAATTTTTACGTCGATATATTCACGACGGGTCTCTCTCTCTCTCGACGTACCTCGCGGAGTGTTTATCTACGGCGCGAATGCTCACTACGCGGCCAGCGAACGCACTGGCACTGTTGGAGTAATTCCAAGGCGATAACGCTTATATAAGAGGAAGACCATGACACGCGCGTTCGCCAGCCTTCGCAAGCAGTCGCGCTTGGCTTTACGACTACACGTCGAGCTGTTTCAAGCGTAGCGTCGCGTGCGTTATCTCAGTGTAATAAAGCAGAATGACGTTATCGGTCGCGCGGACTACACCTTCTGCCTTCTGCCGTCCCGTTCACGTTTTGATCCACGCCCGAGCGATCGCTGAAGTATCTTGACGTGGTGGTCAACAAGCTTATGCGTATGGCCAGCACGCTTGCGCTCTCGAAACGAAGCCTGTCCAAGAGTGGAAAGGTCGATGTGAGGTAGCGTGCATGCGCGTTGACGAGGGGATGATAACCGGTGGTTTTAGTAATTCAACCCTCTCCCCCCTCCCTGGCCCCCCCTTCCCCCGCTACGGTTCAAAATGAGGTAAAAAGGGTCAAATGAGATTTCGAAGGGTAGAAATTGCGTGAAGATACGCATTGATTTTCTTCGCGATGCCCTCTTTGAGTATGAAATACTTGTAATCTGTCTCTTTTGCATTTCTTGAATAATTCAAACGATGTAAATAAATTTAAAAAGCTTTTTAAAACATACGGGAAAAGAAATCAACTACGGGAACTACGTGGAAATACCTGTTATTTATCAGATGCTTCACGGTTTAAATGTTAATTTTAATTCTCATGCTTTCGTGGAGTATATATTTGCACGAAGCACATGTTAAAGAATATTTAAAGATCAAATATGATTTCTTTAGCGTAAATATTAAATCATTTGCTTTATCAAATGCTATAATTTTCTTATTATATTTTGAAGAAATATTTATGCATATTATTTTGTGCAAATGTTAATATTAATTTTTATATTTAATTATTTTATTTTAATATCTTATCTATTATCCTAACAAATATATAAATATATTAATGTAAGAATATAGATATTAATTATGCTTATTCGTGCATTAAAAATCTCATTAAAAAAAAGTTAATTAATAATATGCGCTATTATGCTTATTTTTAATTACAGATAAGATTTCCGTTACTTCCGTGTCCTTTTTTACTTTTCGTTATTTTTCTTATCTTTTTAACATCTATATTTAAAAATAATTTATAAAGATATCTGCATTCCCCGCTTTTTCTCACTTTAATTCTCACTCCTCACTCTGAAGAACGCTTTCAATATTGTAATGTGAGAAGTTTCTTCGTTATAACAGCCTTGTGCGAAAGACCGCGCATGTAAAACGTTAAAACCAATATCGTCTTAACAACGTACATAGTGAAGATGCAAATTGTATGACATATAGAGACTTCTAGTGTGTCGCATAGTGTCTAGAATTCTTCAAGTTCTCGTCAGAGTTTAATTAAACATTCCATGACAGTGGAATGCGCGCGTGGTGTATTTACGGCCTTTTGCTAAACCGAAACCGCTATCAATGCATAGCAGTTTTTTTTCAAAAATTTTGCGAGTTGTAAATCTTTTTTAAAAGTATAAATTGGATTACTGAAAAAGTTGAATAGCCGTAAATCTTAAATCTTGTGCCAAAAGTTCTCCCATAAAAAATTTTCATATAATACATATCGTCATTAAAATTAATATTTACATTTGTGCTTATTTGTGTTTATTTATCTTTCTTAAAAATAAAATTAAATAAAAGTTTTTGTTAAGCCAAATCGTGACTATAATATAAAATAAATAAATATAAATGTCTAAGATAACATTAAAATGTGCAAATGAATCAACAAAGTGAACTTCAAAGATCAGCTCGCTTTGTCGAAAAGTTGATTTTTTTCTCTTTAAAATAATGCTAGAATTACATCACAAAGATTATAAATGTCGTAATTTACGAGCGTATCATAAAATAACTACTATCTTAAAAATGTGATTATCTCAGAAGAAAATATATATAGTATTATTATTAAGAATTTGCGAGATTCTTTAAGAGATAAGTAATTATATACGGGGATAAAATTACTTATTAAGTTTTTTATCATGCTAAAAGAAGATCCCGGTATACTTTGACGTCGTATTTTTAACACGGTTATCTCGAGTACTATTTCTATGGGTCGCTTTCAATCGCCACTTTCAATCGAACAACGAAAACTCATTCACGTCTCTTTGTTTCAGTTTTATTGAACTCATGTTTGTATTAGCTTTCGGGTAACAAAGAGGTTTTCTAGGGCTTTTAATACCAATGAATAACACGTATTGATTATTTCTTATTAAAAAAAAGCGCGAGAGAACATAGGAGAAACACAAAAGGTCAGTGTTAATTACGAAAATGCATTTTTCCAAATATCAATCACATCAATTAGACACAATATCAATTAAATGTTAATTAAATCTTTCATGCCTCCTGGAGAAAGTTTTATCGCTCCACTTGTAATTGCCATTGGAAATAATTCTGTCGGGAATGCATAATGCAGCTTTTTTCCGAAAATTTAATGAATGCGCGCGTGGAACCGTATCGTATTCATCGCGTTACAACGACTATTTCTCGCCATATTGAAGCGATTAATATCTGAGAAAATTCGACTAACGAGTTATCGATCAAACCAATAAGATAGAGCAGTTCGCCGAGGGTGATAATCGACAAATCGTAGCCCGCGGCGCTAATGACGGAAATCTGGTTTAAATCAATTTCTCGCTCGAGGCGATCGGAGCAAGCGATTTCTCGCTTCACGGACCAAAGTATTATCGCGGACGCGTACAAAAACGCGTTCCGGGACATCCCACGGTATTTCAATATCCGCTTTGTTTCGGGAGTGGGTGAAAGTTCGGCTCAGAGAATTGCGCGAGAATGTGGAGAAAATGTCATTTATTCGATACAAAATGCGAACATAATTGTGCATGTTCGCGGCTAATCATTTCTTTTTGCTTATTTGTTTACCATTTACAGCGATGTAAATCTCTATTCAATGAAGCTTTGCGCTTGTTTTCGGTCAGAGTCAGCTTACGGAGCTGCCTAATTGGTCAAATTGATTGTACCTTAGAGAGTAAGTACTGTAGCCGAGTCTATGGAAAGAAAAGAAAAATGCTTATTCACATCTCGAATACTCACACACACACACACACACACACACACACACACACACACACACACACACACACACACACACACACACACACACACACACACACACACACACACACACACACACACACACACACACACACACACACACACACACACACACACACACACACACACACACACACACACACACACACACACACACACACACACACACACA